ACTGGCTAACAACAATACAAATTACATAACTGTGATTTATTTTTGGAAATTTACGTGATCAACTTGTAAATTAAATTACATTATACTCATTGTTCTTTTTACAATGATTTACAACACCAAGCGAAGATAAAAGCATTTCGTACGTACAAAACGCAATTTATTACATTTTGTTAAATTTATCATGCCCGTATCGTGCGTGACACGTGTTTTCTTAAGCGTATGTGAATGAATACTCGGACAAGGAATTTATTCACCAAGAATTACGCGCATGTTTTTTTTTTTTACGAACGTTAAAAAATCAAAAATATCCGACAAATAACTTTTCAAAATAACTATTGCGACGTCAATCTAATCTAGATTCCATTTTTATTCCAAATTTTTACTTTTATGCGTGTTAACGAAACATCGATAAAATTATATTTGTTTCGTGTGAAAATATCGCTTTGGAAAAAAACAAATATGAAATCACTAACAGAGCAAATAACAAATGGAACAACAATTTTACTTGGGCAATTATTTTGAATAAAACTTTATCTCGATACATCCAATACCGGGTCAAAAATATTACATCGATCAAATCTGATCTGATTTAATTGCAATTTGATAAAAATTTTAATCAAAATATATTAAATGTTTAACACATTTATTAACCTCGTTAATAAAAAATCAACAACGAAGAAAGAAACTAACAAGGAATAATCATAGTTAAGAAAAAAGTTAACAAAAAAGATAGGAAGGAATATTTTTTATTGGAAAGAGAGTTCTATAAAATTGATCGATTCGTTCAACATTTCGCCTAGAAAAGGAAACGAGAAAAGGGGAAACAAAGGAATATTTAATTACTGATAAAGTAAAGCTCATATTTTACCAGTTGTATTAAAATGCACAGATAAAAGAATGAACGAGGGAAGTCTGAAGTAAATTTTGAAGTATACTGCACGACGATCTTACTTTTATATGCAAGTAACGTAAAAATTATTGCCAGGAATGGAAACGTTGCTTTCAGTTGTAAATACAATCACCGGTAAAAAAAGAAGTTTACGCATCGAGCCGATAATAAAATTTTCATCTGGGAATAGAGTTATGCAGACAACAAAGCTCGAACAGGGTCAAGTTGATTATTCGATCGTCAGTGTTTTTTTTTTTTATCGAGATTGAAAATTAAAGGAAGAAAGGAAAGGAAAATGAAAAATTGATACACGTGGTTTGACGATAAAGCGCTTAGATTTTAACTTTATTGCGAAATCTATTTTAAAGATTATTTATTTTCTTTGAAAGTTTGCAATTGTTAAATAGCGTGCTAAGTAAATTGTTCGTTCATTGTTTGTCTTTCAAGCTGCCTTCAAACGGAAAATTCGAATGAAAACGAATTAGATATTTAGAACGTTCGATAAATAAGATATTTCATTTTTCAATAAGTCATTAATTTTTCTCG